AGATAGGACGGTCAGAGAAAGGCTCTCTGAGGACAAGAGATTTCACTAGAGGCCTGAAGGGGGTGGAGCCACGTGGGCACCTGGGTGAAGAGCTTTCTAAGTAGAGTGACAGGAACAGCTAATGACTGGGCCCTGAGGAGTGACGGTGCCTGGTGACTGTGTCCTACGGCCAGAAGGCCAGTGAGTCTGGAATGAAGTAAGCAAAGGGAAGGGAGGGAAGAGGCCAGGCCTGTAAGGTGAAAGTGATCACACAGGGCCCGGCGGACTATGGTGAAGATTTGGGCTTTTTCCTCCAAGGGAGGTGGGAGCCATGAAGGGTTCTGAACAGAGAGGGGTGGCGTGCCCTGACTTAGGTGTATACAGAGTCTTTTGGCCACTCTGGGGGTTAGGAGGCACCTACATGGGTCCAGGCCTGAGGCGACAGGGCTGTATGGCAGGGTAGGGGTAGGCAAGGTGAGAAGCAGTGGTGATAGGTTACCTGCTATTGTCTGTCCCGCCACAACCCCTAGCGAAGGGCCTGCGGAGTGTCCCAGAGCTAACAAAGAAGAGAACTTCTCCTTATCTCCTGCGTACTCTCAGTAAATAATTTCAAAGAACCTTTAACCTCCCTGCAGATGGTGGCCAATTAACTGAGAGATGTAAATTCCCACTCACTCCCGTTTCTTAGGAGTCGTAGGTTTGAATCATATAATATCAAGGTCATTGTAAATCTTACAATTTGTATAACTTTTGCATACTAATAACAACATGCAGTAACGAATGAAGGCTTATGAACTCTCTTTGCTCTGTGGCAAGTTTGATGAACACATCTGCCAGGTGTTACTGATAAGAAGCTGTGAGAAGGCCGGGCTCAGTGGCTCAGCCTGTAATCCCAGCACTTTGGGAGGCCGAGGTGAGTGGATTGCCTGAGCCCACGGGTTCGAGACCTCATCTCTACAGTAAATCAAAAAAATTAACCGGGCGTGGTAACGCACGCCTGTAGTTCCAGCTACTTGGAAGGTTGAGGTGGAAGGATCGCCGGAGCCCAGCAGGTCGAGGCTGCGGTGGCTGGGAGCGGCCACTGCACTCCAGTCTGGGCGACAGAGTGAGACTCCAACTCAAAAAAAAATACAAAAAAACCCCAAAAGAAGCTATGAGATACCTCTGGTAACCAGTGCCAGAGTCAATTTCTGGGAGGGGGCATCCCAGGACAGGTGGAGCTAGCTTCCTGGTGGTATATGTTCTGGGCCTGGAGGGAGGGAGGGTCTCAGGTTTATCAGAGTCTGAAAAATATCTCAACACCATTCTTGAGGTTTTACAGCATACCTTATCTACAAAGTAAGTTCTGTGCGTATCAGTTCCTAGCCCAGAGTGACCCCTTACAGAGGCAGCAGCTAAGGGGGAAGGGGTGGGGAGGCTGAGGTGGGAGGATCACCTGATCCCAGGAGGTTGAAGCTGCAGTGAGCAGCCACTGCACTCCAGTCTGGGTGACAGAGTGAGATCGTGACTCAAAGAAAAGGAAAAAAAGTTCAACCATAGTTGCCCTTTTTCATGGCTCAGGTCTCTCCTCCAGCATTTACCACATGGCCTGATGGTAATTTTATAAAGCATTTTCCCCGGGGAGGACAGAGCTGCCCCATGGGAATGGTCGAAAGCTTGGATGTGACCCTGGCGAATATGAGGCGCCGGTGAGACTGCCACGTGTGGTGGGGGGAGGCAGGTATGAAGCGGTTGAGGCCCAGCCCTCGGGAGTCGACAGCATGAAGCTCATGGTGGTGTCCTGAGTCGGCACAAGTGTCCCCCGGGGACCCCATGTGTCTGGGAAGAGGCTCGTGGCCTGTCCTGTCTGTCCACTATTTGGAATGGGTAGGGTGGGGCTGACCGACCGGAACTGGCAGGACTGTGGGAACCACAGGAATCTCTGGGAGTCCTGGTCACTCAAGGGCATGGCTTGACGCCTCAGGCCTCACCTGTTTGCGGAGGCCTGTCTGTTCCAGGAGTCAGGCAGTGCCAAGGCCCACAGGGAGAGAGGGAGTTTCTCCAGGGACAAGCTGAGTTAGTGAGCAAAGCCCCGCCTGGGTGTGCTTCACTCTGAGGCAGCAGCTATGGTGATTAGATACCAACTGTGGATGAACACTCTGACTTTATAACCTCGTACTGATTATGCTCCGTGCACTGAATGTACATTTCTTTTCGAGTCGGGGTCTCACTCTGACACCCAGGCTGGGGTGCAGTGGCACGATCACAGCTCACCGTAGCCTCAATCTCCTGGGCTCAAGTGATCCTTCTACCACTGCCTCCAAGTACCTGGGACTACAGGCTCCACCACCATGCCTGGCTAATTTTCATATTTTTTTGTAGAGACGAGATCTCACTATGTTGCCCAGGCTGATTTCAAACTCCTGGGTTCAAGCGATCCTCCCACCTCGGCCTCCCAAAGTGCTGGGATTACAGGTGTGAGCCACCACTCTTGGCCTGAGTGTATATTTCTGCTGACTGCTCCCCCATGTATGATGCCATAATAAACGTATTGTGGACTATACTTTGAAGTATACAGCTTGTCTCAATGTTGGGAGATGCAGTGAGACCAGGCACAGTATGCAAGGGAGCATACAGTTGGCGTGCGGGTAGGTGGCTGGTGTGGGAATGTGTAGTAGGTATAGGGGGATACAGCCGGTTTTGTGTGCCATGCTGGCTGTATATTCCCACAGTATACATCCATGATGGCTGTGCACTTCACACCAGCTGTATACCCCCCACACGGTTAAATAGCCCATCCCCTGATGGCAACTGTATACCTCCTTGTGAACTGTGCCTTCACACTGTCCCGTACCGATGGTCCCCGTTCCTCCTGTGCACCCCACATCCACTTAACACTCCTACCCTGAACACATGCTACATCCACTGCAACTGTAAACTCCAGTGCTGTTGGGTACGGTGGCTCATGCCTGTAACTCCAGCACTCTGGGAGGTCACAGCAGAAGGACTGCTTGAGCCCAGGAGTTTGAGACCAGGCTGGGCAACATAGTGAGACCTCATCTCTACAAAAAATAACTAAATAAAATAAAATTAATTAGCCAAGGAGCGAGAGACCCAATCTCTGCCCTCAGAGAGCCCACATGCTACTGAGTGGCCCTGGATTCAAATTCTCTGCTGCCTTTGACCTGGAGGACACTCGCCAATGCCTTATCTTCCCTGAGCTTCAGTTTCCTCAACTATGAAATGGACTAAAATATAAAAACTACAGTTGGCCGGGTGCAGTGGCTGAAGCCCATAATCCCAGCACTTGGGGAGGCTAAGGAGAGCGGATTGACTGGGCCTGTGGGTTCGAGACCAGCCTGGGTAAGACCTCATCTCTACAACAAGGCATGGTAGCGCATGCCTGTAGTTCCAGCTACTTGGAAAGCTGAGACAGAAGGATCGCCGGAGCCCAGCAGGTCAACACTGGGGTGGTCGTGAGCATGCCACTGCACTCCAGCCTGGGTGACGAAGTGAGACTCCAACTAAAAAAAAAATCACAGTTGACCTCAAAGATCAGGGTCAGGATACTAGTGGGGATACAGTGGCCATTGGCTTTTTTTGTGTGTTTATTTGTTGAAACAGAGTCTCGCTTTGTTGCCCAGGCTGAACAGCAGTGGTGTAATTATAGTTCACTTACAGTCTCCAACTCCTGGCCTCAAGTGATCCTCCCACCTCAGCCTCTTGAGTAGCTGGGATTACAGACTCGTGTCACCACACTTGGCTAATTTATTTTTATTATTTTTGTATACACTTCTTGTGTAGAGATGGGGCCTCATTATATTGTCCAGGCTGGTCTTGAACGGTTCGTCTCAAGCAGTCCTCCCACCTCAGCCTCTCAACGTGGTGGAATTGCAAACAGGGCAATTAATTAAAACTTTTTTTAAATTTAAGAAACAGGGTCTTGCTATGTTGCCCAGGCTGGTCTCGAACTCCTGGGCTCAAGCAGTCCTCCCGCCTCGGCCTCCCAAAGCCCCGGGATTGCAGCGTGAGCCACTTTACCTGGCTCGTT